TTATCAGTTATTGTTACTGTTAACATTATCATGTAAAATATTATAATTGTTATCATTTTTACTTTTATCATTATTATTATAAGAATTATGATTATTGTAATTATTATTATTATCATTATTATTATCATTATTATCATTATTATTAATTTTATTGTTATTATTATTATTATTATTATTATTATTATTATTATCATTACATTTTAATATTAAGATAAAATTTATAATGATAATAATCATAGTAATAATAATAATTATAATAATAATAGTAATAATAATATCATGATGATCACTATCATTGTCACCATAATTATGATAAAAATTATGATTATTCTTATCTTTACTTTATAATTTTCATAATAACAGTGTTATCATTATTACTTTATTATTATCACCATTGTCATTATCATTATCGTTGTTATTATTACTATTATCAATAACCTTTATCATCATTAGTAGTACGAGAATTTGTATTAGTAACAGTATTATTATCAAAATTTTCATCATTATTCCTTCTGTAAAAACTAATTAGCTAAGCTGCTTCGTGTTACTTTAAAACGAAGAAGGGAATTTAGCCTCTGCAATGGCTAATGGACTTCCGATGGGTTTATTGAAAACAAAAGAAACGCAGAGAAAGAGAAATGCATTCTAATAAAACGTTATCGGAAGACACGAAACACTGGCCGCTTTTTTTCCCCTGCAATTTTCCCCGCGCATGAAAACCGCTAAGAGGGACTTGAGCGAGAAAGCGCTAATGGCTGCTTTCGACGTCGGCTAGACTACCCTCCTCTTCCCCTGCCCCTACCCCTATCCCTTTCCTCCCACTTTCCCCTCTTCCCTATCCTTCCTCCTCCCCTTTTCACGACCATTGTCCCCCCTCCCCCTTTTTCTTGCCTTCCCCCTCCACACTTCTCCTTCCCCTTCCCTCCTCTCTTTCCCTAGCATAGCTCTCCCCCTTCTCTCTTTCCTTCCTCTCCTCTTTCCCCTCTGCCCTCTTTCTACCTCTTCCCCTCCTCCCTCTTCATCCTCTTCTCCCTCCTCCCCAACATTCTCCTCCTCCCTATCTTCCTCCTCCCCTATCGCTATCGTTCCCCTCCTCACTCTCCCTCTCCTCGCCCTCCCCTTCCACTTCTTCCTAGCCTCCCCCTCCCAGTCCCCCTCCCCCTCCCCGCTGCCTCGCCCCCCAACACGCACTCGAAAACAATTCTCTTTCTTCTCGCACGAAGCTGAGGCGAGGAGGCAGGTGAAAGGCGAGTGAAATATTCCTGTAAAGCCATTTTACTCGGAAAGAAAGAAAGAAAAATAAAATAAAAATCTTATTCCTGTTTTCTGTTTTACGTTTACATCTATATCTATGTTTATTTCTCTATCTCTTCGTCTCTCTATCTATCTACCCTTGTCGATTTTTTTTGTCTATCCGTTTCTCTCTATCTATTTATGCGTCTTTTTCTCTATCTTTCTTTGTCTATTTCTTTATCTATTTATCCGTCTCTATCTATCTATCTTTATCTATCTATCTATCAGTATATCTACCTACTGATACACACATAATAAATCCATAAGTGTGTGAACGTCTAATGAGCCTCCCTTCCTTTGTTTTCACGCCCACTTCCTCGCCGTCGCCCACAGGTCTGGTGTGAACTGGAGGAGGACGACAACGCATGGACGGTCCTTCAGCGGCGCGGCTCCAGGACCTCTGAGATGCCTCACCCCGTCGTCGACTTCTTCAGGGACTGGGCCGAGTATAAGTGGGGCTTCGGTGACCTCGAGGGGGAGTACTGGCTGGGTAAGTGAAGTGGTTGTTTGTGGACAAGGAAGCGGTGTTACTAGAAAAAAAAGAAGAGACAAAATGCATAAAATAAAAGGAATATGAAATATATGAAAGTACAAGTTGAAAAAAATATGAACCAAAAGAGAGATCACAATGGAAGGGAAAAGATTACCAACACAGAAAAGGAATAATTCTATCTTTAAAAAATTAGAATAAATAGCTCAGAAAAAACAAACTGGCAAACGAACATAAACTGCTCGTTTTCCTTTCACCATAATAAGAGAGTATACAGATACTATAACGGCCTCTTTCCCTTAACCCCTTCCGCCAGGCAACGAGTACATCCACCAACTGACACAATCCGGAGACTACGAGCTACGAGTTGACCTGTTAGACTGGGCTAACGAGACTCGCTGGGCAACCTACAAGCACTTCGCACTTAGCAACGAAGATCACAACTACACTCTCAGCCTTGGAGATTACGAAGGCACTGCTGGTGAGTGGCCCCGTGTGTGTGTATCCGTTACCTGGCCGAATGTTTTTATTTGTCCGTGGTTTCAGTCACAAAGGGGTGTTTGCTTTTACTGAGACAGGAATTTCGCGACAGTGAGAGAGAGAGAAAGATATATATATATATATATAGATAGATAGATAGATAGATAGAGAGAGAGAGAGAGAGAGAGATTGATATATAGATAGATAGATATTTTGAGTCAGTATTATGTCTATACT